AATTTTTCCTTTCTTCGCTTAAATTATTCCGTAGCACTTTTCTTCAAGAATCTGATAAGATTTTGCTTGAGGCAGATCAAAAAACTTAAATTCGATCGAATAGCTTTCTACTTTCACAATACACGGTCTCGTCAAGGTGCGTCTTTGACCTCTCAGTGTTGGATCGTGAATTCTCTTTTTGTGTTGTTTGCCTATTTTGAAATCTCTGTAAATGAAAACTATAGGGGTTGATATGTGCGAGTTAATGACGCGCCTTATCAACACATTGTGTTGGAGTTCACTGCTTGTTTTTTTTTTTTTTTTTTTTTTTTTTTAAACAAAGTTATAAGCTCCCGGCTGGATGGATGCAGAATTTTTCAGATTCATGATATTCAATTGGACGTATTTCTGGAACTATGGAAATCATCCTCGGAACTTTGTGCATTATGACATGAGCCCTAAGACCTGTAAGACTATATGCGTAAAAGGGCTCACGTCATTATGCACATAGTTCCGTTCGGCAGAAATACGCCCAATTCTAGATCGACGAGTTCAAATAGAGTCACGGGCTCAGGGAGGCCAAGTACGAGTCCAGGTCTTTTGCCCAGGATTTGGAGCTTCCCCCAAAAGATAACACTGGAGAGGACCTTGATGAAGATCTTGATGATAAACTCGATGATGATTTAGACGATCTTAATGATGATCTTGATGATGATTTCGATGATGGTCTCGACAGTAAACTTGATGAACTTGATGAGATCGATGATAAACTTGATGAACTTGATGATGGTCTCGATAATAAACTTGATGATCTTGATGTTGGTCTTGAGGATGATCTTGATGATGACTGTATAGAATACGAGCTGCCCAAGGATGGCGTTGAGGTCGCTCTCAATAATAGGCTCGTTAAGGACCCGACCCATTCTGATTTTGGTGACGTTGTAATACCGTCGACTCCATTGACAGTTGGGTATTCACAATCAGCGTATCTCACTTCAAATTCGTCCACCCTCACCGACTTTTCATTTTCTACGCCCATGATCACTGATACAAACCCGAGCTGAAAAATTTGAAACTGGGTGAACGAATATCAAACTGATGGAAATATATGGTGCAGCTAAAATTTTGGTATTCAACGGAAACAGACTTCTCTGGACAGAGTTTTGGGATTGATCGTCACGTTATGAATGAACTCATTCCATGAATTTGGTAGCAATGTGATTGAAAACAAATTAAATCGGACTTCTTTTTCTTCCTTTTTTCTCACATGTGCAGTTTGAAATGGTAGAAATTTTTAAGGAAACCCTATCGTTGCCGTTTTGAGTTTTGAAAACTTATATTCAAAAAGGAGAAAAAATGATGTAGAATGTATGTCACCACCTTCCGGCCAAAGTATCACAAGCGCCATGCGACGTTTCGAAATTTCCGCCACCATTTTATTTTCTTACGGAGAAATTTTTCAACGAAGCTGTTCGAAAAGTTCATTGAATTTTCTCTGTGCAGCCGATAAAATTCAGTGTAACTTTCAAACAGATTCAATTAACAATTTCTTTTTACATAAAAATAAAATGGCGACGGAAATTTCAAAACGGCGCTTGGCGCTTGTGATAATATGGCCGGAAGGTAACGATGTGTGGTCGAGGTAGTGATAGTAGTGTTCTTTTCGACAGTCATTTACTCTGCCGTGAAACGCAAAAACGCCGTAAACGCCATTATACTTTTTTTGGAAAAATATACCATAGCAGAAAAACTTGTTTACCTTGGGGCAACGTCTTTACAGGACTCTTCCGCAAATACAATTAAGAAATTAACCTGCAATTTTAAGGTACATAAGTAAAACAGTTCTTATTTTATAAAGTGTTAAGTTCCTAAAAACGAGGGAAAATCACGATGGATGTACGGCGTTCTTGCTTTGCACGGAGGTGCTGGCAATGGTGGTGGTGGCATTGGTAGTAGTAATACTTATTTATGTAAATTATGAATGGCCAGAAAGAACCTCTCTTTCCCCCACCTGAAAAAAAAATCCAAAAATACGTAGGAAATAGTCTAAGTTTTATTGTTTAATTTATTCTTACCGCGAAAGGCCTGCTCACATAAATAGGTACGGAGGCACGGTACCACTTCGTTGGATTGATCCCCAAATTGTTTCCCGCAAAACTCGTCCAAATTACAAACGATCGGTCCGACTCAAATCCAGGATCCAGGGGCGAGCTCAGATCTGTTTTATACAACTGAATCAATAATAAATACATGAGAGAGAATCAAAGAATGAAATGAGTCAAATTTTAAACAATAATTTAGATGAAGCATCGGAAAAAGGCACCTTTATACGAGAATGTATTTATTTTCTCGTAAATTATTCGCGCTCCGTCGTCCACACACCCTTTCTCTCTTTCGTTCCCAGAAATCTTTTTTCCTCGTGCAAAGGGATTCGAATACTTTTGAAACGACTTTCTCAAAAAGGGTAAAATACTTCTATTCTACCGTACTAAGAAAGAACGCCATATGAGCCTTCAGTCGTTGCCATATTTCCATCAATAAAACCCGAATTTAATGGGGAAATTGTGAAGATTTTTTTTCAATTTTCTTAGACAATTTTGTTCGCAATTGAATAAAATATGTCCGCGAGTTTCAAGGAAAATTACGCAAGATTTTCTAAAAAAATACAGATTTTATCCGGGGAAATTTGGCAACATTCTAATGTTCATACGGCGTTCTTCCTTGGCACGGCAGTATCATCTCCTATTCTTTTTCAACGTCCATCACTCATTTATGCAGTTCAAATACGACTGGGTAAAATCAAACTACACATTGTCATCATACGTAAGGCACACTTCAAAGAATAAGACGTAGAACAAAGCTATTCTGCTAAATGTAGATTATGACTCATTAATGTTTTTATTTTTATAAGTTGCCACCAGAGAAATGCTTGAATTATGTGAAGATAGACCAACTTTGGCTGTTTTCCCACAAATAGGTGAGATTTATGTTTCAAGATATTTCTCACATCTACAAACCACAATAATGCAGAAACTAAATGTGTAAGAATAACTTGAATATCGATGAAATTACGTATCTTTATTTGCAGCGTCGCGTTGCGCACTTCCCGTCATGCTTCATTTTAAATCAAAGAATTATCAACATAATTAACTTAAGAGTCTCAATAATTTTTCTTTCTATTTGAGGAACCTTTTGTTAAAATATATAGCTATTTAGAGAATCTTTTTTCCAAGAGAAATGCACAGGAAGCAAACATTTTGCAAGCTTGTAGCTCAGTGTTGCTAACGTGGCCCTTGAAACACCACTTCAAATAAGACATACGGAGCTAACACTCCATGCTAAGAGAGCAAGGGAAAATACGACGGCGATGACGGCGCAGAGATACAACTATTCGTGCTTGATGGATGTCCGTGCTGCGTCTCCAATATTGAAGGCGCAAAAGGACGAGGCATGATCTCTCAATGCTCAGTAATACGCTACCATTGCGGTGTCACCCTGATTCAGTCGGATGACGCCTCACCTATCTTTGGATGTGTAGGTACTCGAATTTTTTTCAGCATATATGTCTGATTCTCTTTTTTGGATTTATTTGTGAACCTACGACATCTAAAACTTGTACCTACTGGCACTATAACTCCCACAAAAGAGACGACGGGTTAATTTGACCTGGTTTGGGATTTATGCATGGGGATAGATGTCAGAAAAATTTTCCTTTATACTCGATTTGTTCTCTTTTTTCCTCATACTGATGCCTGATTCTTTTTTTACGGTGTATTTGTGGACCTATATCTAAATTTCGTAGGTACCGGCCTGGTGTAATTCGCGGATTTCGTGTTTTTAGCGAGTCTCCGGTCAGTTTGACATGACTTCAGCATCTAGGGGTTAAGCAAAGAAATCAGCAAAATTCTGGGCTGGAATTGCACAATCATATTCTCGTTTAAAATGTATTTTTTTCACGCAAGATGTACAGCACAATACATAGACTTTCTTTGGGTTCAATCGCACACGAATCACGATGGGTCAAAAGTCATTTTTATGCAATGTTACCGGAAGATATTCCAGTCACTTGGCTGTATCTCTTGCGTGCCACGAACCCATTGGATTTGTTAAGTCAAATTTATGACCTTGAAATAGAGTTATATTCTCTCATTCGGCATGAGTTTGAAAACTGACCCGCAAAGACAATATTCCCCTTTCGACAGAATCGAAATAGTACAGGAAATTGACACATCCTTCTGGACCACGCTCTTCGTCCAGAGGACTTAAACCATAGAAGTTAACGCTCCAAATTTGGCTCCTTGTGAATAATCCTCTATCCTCGGGCCCCAATGCACTTTCCAGGTACCCTCCCACGAATGTACCTGAGGACTTTGAAGTCATGATAACTGAAAAATAAGAATGCGGGAGCTGTGAGAAAGAGCAGGAAGAGTAGCGTGAGTAGGCGAACCTTGCATTCTAAAATGAAGTATCGTATGAGATCAAAAAGACATTAAGTCACTTCTTTTTTCACCTTGCAGAGAACTGTAAATAAATACAATTTATTCAGTGTGATTAATTTTTTATGTGATGCTTGAGTTACTGCTCATGACCGGTATGATTAGACGCACCTAAAGAGTTAAAAAGTCAGAGTAGATATATATATTTTACAGTACAGTGATTTTCGTTGGGAAATACTTTCCAGTATGTGCGTTATTCAACTTTAAACAAATTTGTTTTGACTTTTTTCGGAATTTTTCATGGTGAAATTTCAGATTGATCCAAATTTTTCAGCTACAATTATCGAAAATTAGAGAATTCATTCACTTTCTTTACATGTTTGGTACACGGACTTTATGGCCACTTTTTTTACTTCCACAGACTTTTCGTCCACAAATTTCACGCCCACAGTTCTAAAGCCCACACTATTGTTAAGTCCATTACTTAAAGGTCCACTAAGTTAAGTCCACAAATGTAAAGTCCACTAAAATCAAATTCAAGCGTCATATTTTAGTCCGCGTGTAAAATTATATTGACAATATCGAAATGAGAAAATTAAGAGAAAATGAGGTGTTGATATCGTAACTCATATTTTAAATGAAATGTTAATTTCTTCTTTTGATTCATCTTTTCAAATTGTCTTTGGTAAATACTTGGTTTCATTTCTATCCTTGAAATTTTTTATATAAAATATGCCTTATATGTACATTCTTTTTTTTTAATGAAATTGATTACTTCATTTTAAAAACATTTACATTTTTAAAACGTGATAAATATCTGTAGAACCTTTTCCAAGCAATGGCATCGATATGAATATCTCAATTAGCCGTAGTTGTGATGAAAGAAACTATACAAAAATTAATAAAAGAGGAAAAAAACTAAGAAGCACGCAATTTTTTGTTTTTAACTTATTTGTACATCGACCTCCTTGAGTCAAATATGTCCAATTTTGAGCGTTTAGTTGCGCTAACACCGCGCTGCAGCACAGTAAAAGCCCAAAACATAAAAGAATAAATTTGAATGCTTTGGAAATCATTAAATTTGACACGGAACCACTATTATATTTACAAAAAAAACACATTATATTTTCCAGTAGTATATATTTCTTTTTCATCAGTTTAAAAGGGAATAATCAATGCAGAGAGTGCAAACATTTCAAAATCATTAGTTGAAAAACGATGACTCCGCGAGTTTAAATATTAGAGCCTAACACAGAGCGGAGCAGCGTGTCAGCAGCGCAGAACGCGCACTGGCGCCTACAAACCTAACGGGATACTTCACGCATTGCGCAACGCGTGAAGTATCCCGTTAGGTTTGTAGGCGCCTATGCGCGTGTCACGCTGGTTACCTGCCGCGCCGCAACGCTTTAAGCAACTATTTCGCGTCAGATGCGTTGCACAGTATCCTACAAGATTGAAGGCGCACGAAATAACTAGTTAAAGAGGACTTTTAATTTTGACTGCATCTGTTACTGAAAAATGTTTAATTTGGCAGCGTTTCTTAGGCTCCCGCTTTGGTTTTCTTCTTATCATATCCGCACAGTGTACACATGAACATATATTTTTATCTGCTCTTAGAGACTGTTCTCTTTCATGACTTGATTCATGAATGAAATGTTTTTAAGAATGCAGAATGTTTTTAAGTAGTAGTAGTATACATTTATTTTTGAGGTGGTTCCTGTCATTTAAATGAGAAGAAAAAATGTGGACATAACATGTCCACAATTTGGGCAATTTCGGATATATTCATGGTTGGACATTAAATCATGTGGACTTAATGAAGACTGGACTTAACGTTTAGTGGACATTAATAGCGGTGGACATTTATTTAATGGACGAAAGGTAGGTGGGCATAAAGTCCTGGAAGCATATGTTTAGAATCAAGATACTTTCTTGATCACGGTACTCACAAAACACATATCATACCCCTTTACAAAGGATGCTAGTGAGTCAATGGTGAGTTTTCTGGCAATAAAGTCTATTTTTCTGCAGTTTCTCACAGAAGACATAAAGTGCAGGCTTTTTATTGGACGTATTTCTGCTAAACGGAATCAGAGACAGGCGGGAAGGAAGGTGTGTGCTCGTTAATCGAGGGCCGTAAGAATGAATGGGAATTATTAAGCGCCAGTGACGTCAGCGGTGACGAAGTCGTTGCTGTGCTGATTCATAGTCCGCCTTAATTCATGAGCCCTGTCCTCAACGCTCTTTTGCCATGCCAACGGCTCATGAGTGCCGCATACAGTTGGCGCTTTGTTCTGTGTGGTAGAATGTAAAAACCCCCATTTTCATTTCCGCAAGGAGAATCACGCCCTTTTTTACATTGTTACTCATGCGGCTTTCTAGAGCACATCCCATCTTCCCCACTCGTCTATACTTTCGTATAAGGTCCTTTTATTGAGAGAGTTAAGACAACGCATCTCATGGATATCACAAACGGGAATAAAGATTACACAAATTAGGCGTTTTTTGTAATCTTTGATCAGCCCATTCCCGAATTCCTATCTCCGTTCCCTCTCTCATTCCATTTGTTCCTTGCCCTACCCCCAATGTCCTGGTCCATGCCATTTTATAATCTTTGCAATTGGTGAAACTGTGATCTTTATTCCCGTTCGTGACACTGTGAAAGCCTACAATACGGGAACCAATCAGAGATGGATTCACATTGTCTTGACTTTCAGTATATAAAGGGACTAGTTTCGTATAGCAGAGAAAAGTCCTATTGTTAATCCACCAACCTACCGTTCCAA